TTTGACAGTTAAATAGTTATCTAATTATTGTTGGTGAACTTGGCGAACTCAATCGAAGTTATAGTATTAAATTCCTCTAGAGAAATTTTGGCTACAAATGATTCAAATGCAGATGATTTCCTAGGTGAAATGAAAATGTGCACTTAAAACTCATCCCAAACCTCAAGGATCATCACAACAATATTTAAAAATGAAAAACATTATAATTTTTTAAAAGGGGTGTGCTTGTATAACATTGAGTCTAAACTGACCCTCCAGCATGTTTTCAGAGGCAGTTAGGGGTCAATTTTTACTTTCCTGATCCACAGAAATTTTTTTTTTTTTTAAAAAAAGCAAACCAAATACCTTCTGGGTATCGAACCGTCAACTGATTTTTCTTTCCTTAACCTTTTAAACATTAAAGCAACACATCCAGGAAACATTTTAAATTCATAGCATAGTCTGTAGGGAGCTATTATGCCAACCCAAGTGTTAAACCTCTCTGTTGGAATACACCAGAGCTTTATTGGGAGACTGATGGGCAGTTTTCCTCAGTGGGATTTACAGTCTTGAAAATGCAATGGAGGATCCACGATGAGTTGGTTCCCACTTGGTGGTAGTGTTGTTGTTGTTGTTGTTGTTGTTGTTGTTGTTATGTGCCATCGAATCGATTGTGACATATAGCAACCATATGTACAACATCCCTAAACTCTGCTCTGTCCTGTGCCAATCGCACCGTCTCCAACACACCCATCCTAATTACCCCAGTCACTGAATCAATCCACTTCATAAGGGCCTTGCCCTTCTGCGCTGTCCCTCCACCCTACCAAGCATGATGTCCCTCTCCAAGGACCTGTCCCTCCTTGCAACATGTCCAAAGTATGTCAGACAGAGCCTTAGAATCCTTGTCTCCAAGGAGCAGCCCAGTTTGACCCTTTCCAGGATGAATGTTTGTTTTCCTAGCAGTCCATGGAACCCTCAATACTCTTCTCCAGCACCATAGCTCAAAGGCATCAATTCTCCTTCTATCCTCGTTAGCCATTGTCCAACTCTCTGATGCATAACAAGTGATAGCAAAGACCATGGCCTGTATCAGACGCACCTTAGTCTCCAAAGAGACACCATTGCTCTTCAGTACTTTGGAGAGGTCCCTAACAGCAGACTTTCCCATGGCAATGCGCCTTTTAATTTCCTGGCTGCTGGTGCCAAGACTGTTGACTGTGGAACCAAGCAAACTGAAGCTGTGAACAATCTCAATCTCTTCACCATCCATCCTGATGCTGCCAATTGGTGCAGTGATGAGAATCTGTCTTCTTGACATTGAGCCTCAATCCATATTGGAGGCTGCAGTCCCTGACCCTCAGCAGCAAGCGCTTCAGGTCCTCCTCAGTTTCAGCAAGCAGGGTTGTATCATCTGCATATCACAGATTGTTGATAGATCTTCCACCAATCTTGACTCCACATTTCTCCTCATAGAGCCCAGCCTCCCAGATAATCTGTTCTACATACAAGTTGAAAAGGTATGGAGACAGGACACATCCCTGGCTCACCCTTCCCAATTTTGAACCATGCAGTGTTCCTTTGCTCTGTTCTGACAACTGCCTCTTGGTCCAAGTATAGGTTTCTCATTAGCACAATCAAGTGTTCTGGTATTCCCAATCTTCTCAGAGTCAGCCACAGTTTGTTTTGATCCACACAGTCAAACGACTTTGCATAATCAATGAAACACAGATAGACCTTCGTCTGGTACTCCTTGCTTTCTGCCAAGATCCATCTAACATTAGCTACAATACCCTAGTACCACGACCCCTTCTAAACCCAGCCTGGACTTCTGGCAGTTCTCTGCTGATGCGATGTTCCAGTCATTTTTGTATAATCTTCAGTAGAATTTTGCTTGAATGTGAAATCAATGAGATTGTTCTATAGTTTCCACACTCTGTTGGGTCACCCTTCTTTGGAATGGGAACAAATATAGATCTCTTCCAGCCAGTTGGCCAGGGGGTTGTTCTGCAGGCTTTTGTAATCCTCATCATAATCAAGTCGGACAATATGTTCCACATTTTTCTCTTTTATTTCTTCCATTCACGTAGGCCTACTTTCAGCCCTTAACAATCATGTAGTCCACTTTAAGTGTGCTCTATTGTATATAGGGCTTTTGAAGGCCTATTATTATATTTCAAAAGTTGATGACCAATCCTTCTTCTTAGTCTGTCTTAATTGTGATTCTTAGTTTTAGAATAATTATCTATCAGACAAGCATTTTACTGAAAGGAGCAAATGAAAGACATTTCTCTTACAGAAATAACAAAGGACCTGAAGAATTTGCTGGGAAGGTCAAGGACTGTAATTTTCAATATGGATTGAAGCTCAACATCAAGAAGACAAAAATTCTAACCACTGGGCCAACTGGCAGCACCATGAGAGATGGAGAAGAGATTGAGTTTGCTAACAATTACAGCTTGCTTGGCTCCACAATCAATACTCTTGGCACTAGCAGTCAGGAAATCAAAAGATGAATTGCTCTAGGAAAATCTGCTGTCTGTAACCTCTCCAGAGTACTGAAAAACAACAACACCAGTCTAGAGACTATGGTGTGCCTAAAACAGGCCATGATCTTTGCAATTACTTGCTATGCATCAGAAAGCTGACAAGTGAGTAAGGATAATAGAGAACAATTAATGTCTTTGAGTTGTGCTGCTGGAAGACTCTTGGTATGCAGATGGCACAACCTTGCTTATGGAAAATGAGGGGGGCCTGAAGTGTTTGCTGCAGAAGGTCAAGGACTGCAGTCTTCAATATGGATTGAAGCTCAATATCAAGAAGACAAAGATTCTTCTACTAGGCCAAATGGCAGCATCATTATACATGGAGAGATTAATATTGTTAACAATTTCTTGTTGCTTGGCTTCACAATTAACACTTGTGGCACCACCAGTCAGGAAATCAAATGCATTACATAGGGAAAAATCTTCTGTCAGGGTCCTCTTCAGAGTGCTAAAGAGCAAAGATACCAGTCTTGAGACTAAAGTGCACCTGATCCAGGCCACGGTCTTTGCAACTACTTGCTCTGTGTCAGAGAGCTGGACAACAATTAAGAGTGGCAACAGAAGAATCAAAGCCTTTGAATTGTGTGAGGAGTGCTGAACACTACATGGACTGTCAAGAGAACAAACAGGTTTATCCAAGAGAGGGTGAAATCTAATTGCTCCTTGGAGGCAAGGATTTTAAAGGTTTGTCTCTCCAGAATTAAGGTTGCATAGTGGAGTGTACTCGGGGCGGTGGGGTGTGTGTGTGTGTGTGTGTGTGTGTGTGTGTGTGAAGGGATTGTACACCAATGAAAGAATTTTTCTTTTACTTTTGAAAGAGAGGAGGGAACTGGGGGTGGGGGGTGGGCAGGGAGAAAAGTGCAACAATGAATGAATGGAAATTCAAAATCTCTGTAAATGTTCATTAAAATTAATAAAATTTTTTTATAAAAAGGTTCGTCTCACATACTTTGGGCATGTGCCAGGAGGGACCAGTTCTTGGAGAGGGACATCACGCTCAGAAGCATGAACGGGGACAACACAAGAGGGAATGACCCTGGACGAGATGGATTACCTCAGTAACTTGAGACAATGGGGATTGGTTTGTTGGAGGCAGTGAGACTGGCTCAGGACAGACAGGACAGGGTTCAGAGCTATTGTGCATAGCGTCTCTATGAAGGTACAATAACCACAATAATCTCTTGGATGTAGGAAGGGATTTCTCCCACATCACCTCTGGGAACCTCCAATGTTTAGGAATTAGGTACTTAATTGTTTGCATCACCCAGGGACTCCAAACATGCCATTAGTTTGTCTTAAGTATTTTGTTACCGTTTTATCAAACTTTCTTTACCTTAAAAACTTCCACTTCTCTATAGTTACACAAATTCCTTTCAAATTTTATGACACTATGTTGTTGTTAAGTCTCTTCGAGTCGTAGACGACCCATAGCGGCCCTATGAACGAAAGTCTTGAACACAAAACTTTCATCTTTTCTCCAAGTTCACAGAGTTCCCAGAGGCAAGCTTATTTTGGAATTAGATGCCTCTCCTGCTTCCAAGCCTGTTTTATTTGGGAAATCCACAAAAAGTAGGCCGAGGGCCCAAAAGCCTTTTAAAATATGAGACCAAATCTGATCAGCTCACACTCATGAACAAAAGCCACACTCTAGTCTCAACTCCAAACTAGAAAACACACTTTAGAATCCCACTGTTCCACTCATCTTTCAACTATAAAATACACTAGCAGATCCCACCATTCCACTCATCTTTCCAGTCTGGAAATAGCCTCAGACTGGCAGCCAAAAGCCTTTTAAAATACGAGGCCAAATCTGATCTGCTCACTCAGAGCAAAGCAGAAGACACACCTTAGCAGAATCCAGCCGTCATCTTCCTAGCCTGGAAATAGCATGACATTATATAGGAAAGCCATTTTTACACACTTTTGTAGTTTCCTCATTTTCTTATTTATCAGTTGTATACTTCAGGGCCTAGCTAGTTGTTCAAACTAAGTTTGTTAAGTACATAATAAATCTATATTAAAAAATAATATAATTCCTTTCTCCAATTTTAAAAGAAAAACCTTGCATGATTTTGTGACAATAAAGTTGCACAATGCACTGTCTTTGATTAACTTAAAAACATCTCATACACCGAAAACAAAGTGATGGCTTCAACAGAGCGGGTCAGGTCTTGTTCTAATTAAGACTGATTATTAGCACTACATCTCGAGTACTGTGGTGCGTCTTAAGGCCAAAAAGCTCACAGACTTTACAACGCCCCAGTCTCTGTGCCAGGAGTCCTGGTGGAGCAATGCGTAACTAAGCGACGCCGTACAAAGGCCATAACCCAGGAACCCAATCGCGGGAAAGAAGTCGTCTCCTGGAAGGCGGGGCTACGAGGGGAGGAGAAACGTGATGACGCCACGATACTTCCTGTCTCCATCCCGACGCTCCGCCCCTTCTTGCACTATGACGTTTCCAGAGAAGAACGAAGCGTAAACAGCGCAGGGCACTTCGGGAGCGGGATTGTTTCACGCAGGAAGCAGTCTCCATTTTAGCGCCGCCCGCCGTCGCCATCTGTTTCCCTTCCCTCCCATTTTTCCCTGTCCTGTCCCCAAGGCGCTACGTGAAGGCTGGGTCTAGGCCGCAGGAGCTTGAAGTGAGAGAAGGGGAAAAGGGAGAAGGAGAAGAAGGGAGATAAGGGGTGAATCGCGAAGGGTGAGTGGTAGAGGCCGAGGTGTGAATCGCTCAGGCCCGCGGACGGACTGACGGACGGGCTCGTGCTCCTGTTGCCGCGGCTGCGGCGCCCGCGCGAGTCCCGTCGAAGCGGCAGCGGCAGCGGAAACGGGAGGAGAGCAATGGCGGCCGACAGCCGAGAGGAGAAAGGTTAGTGCGGAGATGGGTGACGGGCGGAGGCGGGGTTCGAGAGTGGGACGCCGAGGCCTTCGTCGTTGCGGGGGTGGGGGTGGGGATGTTGAGGTTGAGGAGGTTAACCTGCCTCGCGCTAAGCGGGTCGCCCCACCCAACACTCGGGGACTCACTGGAAAGGACTGTTCGTCCACTGTGTGGCCCAACACTCCGTTCTCGCCTGTGGGCTTTTTTCAGTCCACATTCCGCTCTTTATTCCCTGTTTAACTATTCAAGGCGTGATTAAAAGTTGCAGGCCGTGAGGTCTATTTTTTTGGAGGGTTATGCGGATGTAATAACGCGCATGCAGAGCACCACTTTCTGTTAGGCTACATTTGGAAAACCCTTAATGCCACAATAATAACTGCCAGTCTAGGAAATGAACGTGTATAGAAAGTCTTATTAGATGATTATTAATCCAAATTGGTATTTCATGTTAAACAATCAAAAAGAGTGACAAACATTGTTCAAGTTGTCATTTGTTTAACTAAATAAGTATTTTTAAAGGACACTTAGTGTTTACATCACTTTGACCAAAATATTTGAGTGTATCTACGACAAAGTACAAGCAGGAAAAATAAATGGGTGGAAGTTTGGAAACTTCGGGGAAAAGGGTTAAATTCTCTTGAAACTTGAAGAGAATATTGCTGGAATGAATTTTTTTTTTTTTTAAATAAAACAAAGCTTCCCTGTTTTGAAAGTGTTCAGATCCCTGATGAATATTTTTTGGTGTTAACCGTAAAATGTCTTTCGACTGATACAGTGATAGTCTTTCAAATGTGCTAGTTGATGGAAATTTGGCACGGCTGCTGATAAGTGACTGTTTGGGGTGGGTGTTTTAAAAATTGACTCCGAGTCAAGCTGCGTTAGGCCTGTGATCCTATTTGATTTGTACTGTTCTGCATCTAGAGAGTCTTCATGCTTCAGTGATCATGCACTTTAACAACAAATGGTTCCTATATTGCAGTCCTCAGGTTGCCAAAGATAGTTTATCTACTTTTCTAGATTCAGTCTTTCTCTATGCCTTTTTAAAAAAACTCCTAAAATAGCTTCGCTTTTGGAGGGATGTTTTGGCTTGGGGTTTTTTTTTTTTTCATTTGATTGTAGGTTCGTGTGTGTTTGTTTGTTTGTATGCATGTATGTATGTATATAAATGAACCCATCCTAGAATGTGGAAATTACGGAAGGATATCACTGACATCACATGCAAGCAAAATCCTGCTGAAAATTTTGCTGAAAAACGACTGGACTAGTACATCGATGAGAACTACCAGAAATAGAAGTTGGGGGTTTAGAAGAGGTTGTGGCACCAGAGAGATTATGATCGGTGTCAGATGGATCTTGGCAGAAAGCAGAGTACCAGGGGAATGTCTGTGTTTCATTGACAATGCAAAGACATTTGACTATGTGGATCACCAATTGTGGCTAACCTTAAGAAGAATCCTAGAACATTTGATTGTGCTCATGCGAAACTTATACTCAGACCTAGTAACAAGTACTGCTTGGTTCCAAATCAGAAAAGGAATGTGTTGGGGTGCATTCTATCTTCATACCTTTTCATTCTATATGAGGAACAGATCTTTCAGAGGCTGAGCTTTATGATGAAGATGTGGCATCTGGATTGGAGGAAGATTCATTAACAGCCTGTGTTATACAAGCGAACCTTGGTTTTTGCAACTGAAAAGGACCCAAAGCACTTGCTGCAGGTCAAGGAGTGTATATAGTCTTCAATATGGATTGAAGCTCAGCATCTGGAAAACAAAGATTCTCAACCACTGGGCCAATTGGCAGCACCATGATAAATGGAGCTTGAAGTTAATAAAATTATAGCTTACTCAGCTCAGCAATCAACACTCTTGGCACCAGCAGTCAGGAAATCATTCCACTGGGCAAATCTGTTGTCAGAGACAACAGGCAGGAATGATATCAGTGTCGAGATTAAGGTGCACCTAATCCAGACCATGGATTTTGCAGTTACTTGCTATACAGGGAGCTGAACAGTAACTAAGGATGACAGAAGAAGAATTAATGTCTTTGAGTTGTGCTAGACAAGAGTCTTGAACATATCATGGACTGCCAAGAAAACAAATGTCTATGTTGGAGAGGGTGAAAGCAAATTTTTCTCCTCAGAGGCTAGGATTTTGAAGCTCTCTCTCACATACTTTGTGCCTTTAGAGTTACGAGGGACCAGGCATTGGGGAAGAACATCATGCTTAGCAGTGTGGAGGGACAGCACAGGAGAGGAAGACCCCAGAGGAGATAGATTCAGTAATAATGGGAGTAGATGTATAGGAGTCAGTGAGACTGGCTCAGGATAGGTCAGACTTCAGAGGTGTTGCTACTAGTTGCAGGTGACTCAGTGGCACCTAACAACACAACAAAAACCATAGCACATCATTTCAGGTGTCCTACTGTACCTATGTGGATAATGGGTTTGTTTGTTTGTTTGTTTGTTTTTTGTTATTGTGAAATTGTAGTAATACTTCTTAGTTTTGAGAATCAAGTTATTTTGAAATACAAATAACTCATGATTCAAAGAATGGAATTTGGGAGTTAAATTTTTCTTGATTCAAGTCTGCCTGGGAATCTACATATATTACTTGATTTCTATGCATGTTAATTTTGTCTATAAGATGGGAATAGTAAGCAGGTAGTTACGAGATTGAGTTAATGAGCAGTGCTTACATAACAGTTCATAAAGTCATAAAACCTTCCTTTACCTTAACTGTTTTCTGTCCTCTCCTAGTTCTGTATTTCTACATGTCTGGATAACTACAAACTATTCTTAGGCTTTCTGATTTCAGCCACTTTTCTGTAACATGTGTCTTCTGTGAACAACTACGTAGTTTATCTTTAAAAAACCAAAACAAAACAGCCTGATTTTTAAAAAAAAAAAAACAAACCAAAAACTATGCATAAATGAAATTTTGTAATACAAGGTTAAACTACTTTCTTCAATTTTCTAAAGTTCTTGTCTAACATATTATCATTGTTTCTACTTTCTAAATTGCATTTGGGAGAAAATAGACGTCAATTTATAAAATAATAGATCCTGATTGAAAAGAGGAAGCATTCCATCAGAGAGTTGCTCCTCATTAGAAATGATGGATATTTGTCACCCGTGAACTGCCCTTGTGTCACTTTGGATTCTCATGGTTTGCAGAGCTATGAATCCTAGCAGAAGGAAATGGCCCGTTTTCTGTCTTATAACAGTATGGACTGAAGCTCAATGTCAAGAAGACAAAGATTCTTACCACTGGACCTATTGGTAGCATCAGGATGGATGACGAAGAGATTGAGATTGTTCACAGCCTCAGTTTGCTCGGCTCCACAGTCAACACTCTTGGCACCAGCAGCCAGGAAATCAAAAAACGTATTGCGATGGGAAAGTCTGCTGTTAGGTACCTCTCTAAAGTACTCAAGAGCAAGGGTGTCTTTCTGGAGACTAAGGTGCGCCTGACACAGGCCATGGTCTTTGCAATCACTTTTTATGCATCAGAGAGTTGGACAGTGACTAGGGAAGACAGAAGGAGAATTGATGTCTTTGATCTGTGGTGCTGGAGAAGAGTATTGAATGTACCATAGACTGCCAAGAAAACAAACAGATTCATCCTGGAAAGGGTTAAACCAGGCTACTCCTTGGAGGCAAGGAGTCTGGGTCTTCATCTGACATACTTTGGGCATGTTGCAAGGAGGGACAGGTCCTTGGAGGGGGACGTCATGCTTGGGAGGGTGGAGGGACAGCTCAGGAGGGGCAGACCCTCTATGAGATGTATTGATTCAGTGACTGGGGTAATCGGGATGGGTGTGTCAGAGGCAGTGCGATTGGCACAGGATAGAGCAGGGTTTAGGGCTGTTGTACATAGGGTTGCTATGAGTCACAAACGACTCGATGGCACATAACAACAACAAATAGCTGGTGTATTGGAACCGCTCATAGTAACACTGCATGGCCTGTGGGATTAGCAGGTTAGCAGTGCAGCTCCCTGGAGTCCAAACATCCAGACTCTCTATAAATATATGTTGTTAAGTTCTATTCAGTCAAGTGCTACACATTATTTGAACAAGAAACACGAACTCTGCCCTATGAGATCCTTATCACGTCTGACACATTTGAACATCTCTGAGTATATAAAGATGGTATTTAATTTTGGGGAGCACTGGTGATGTAGGCCACTAACGGAAAGGTCAGTAGTTTCAATCACTTTCCTATTAAGATTGGTTATTTTTAAAATTATCCCGATGAGTAGAATCAGCTGTCAGGCTGTGGATATAGTTTTGTTTTTTGGTACATTGCGTTTAATACCAAGTTTTTTTGGTAAAGTTGACAATCCTGAGATTTTCGTGTTTATGTCCTTTATATAGGTGGTTTGCCATTTTATTTTGCTGTCTTCTTTCCCCATGAAATCCAGATGTTGTCTTTGGAGGTTGTCTTTTTGCAATTCTGTGTACTAGAGACTGGAGGCCCTTGGTGGAGGTGGCTGATTAAGATACTGTTCTTGTCTTGAAACAGTTGATTATTGTTGTTTTGTACTGTTGGGTCAGAACCAACCCATAGCAGACCCTCCTGCAGCTTTTCAGAGGCAGTTAATCACAGGGGAGGAGATTGACTCTCTTCTCCCGTGGAACACCAGGTGGATTTGAATGTGACTTTAGGTTTGCAGCACAGCATCTTAACACTTAAGTTATAGCAAGCCCTACCCTATCCCTGCCCTTTCCTACCTCCATCCAACCAAGTTAGAGTGGATTTAACAGCAGAGATAGGAATTTCAGTACTAGCAAGTATGAGAAAGCAAGGAGTGTAGGGCTTATCCTTCTCGGCCAAAGACTCCTGTGCCAGTGAGACAGAGCTGACTTGGGACTGCTACTCCATGGAAGGAACTAAAGCCAAAGACTTTCACTTGGGCTTGCTGGAGGACTGAGAGAAGACACCATAATTGGTGGGATTAAGGGTAATTTTGTAACACTGACATACACCCTGAGGCTGACGGTAAAAGAATGAATACCATGGAAAAGCTGTCATTATATCCTGCTGCAACCTGAATGGTAACCTGTTAACCTCACTAATAAATCCCATAACAATGGGTTCTGTGTGTTCATTACAGTGGATTTTGGACCTGGTAGAGCAGCAGTAAGATTGGTTTTGGAATTAGAAGTAGGTAAAGGAGTGTGGAGACCATGTCAGACTTTATAAGACTTGGTTTTCTGCTGTTGGTGTTAATAATGGAGACAGTTCCCTTTTGTGGTGTTAGTGGCCACATACAACCATCCTCATACTGGCTATATACTCTTAACAGCAGTGTTAAAACAACAGGAACAAAATCCCTCCAAATACATTCTGTGATTACACATTATTAGTAAATTAAGTTTTTATTTCATGACATGACATAAATACAGAGTCTCTTATGCTAAACCTGATCATAGAATACCTTCTATCTGTCTTAACAAACTTATCAAGACTGCTCCAATGGGTTGTTTTTAGGGCTCGTCTATATATATGTATATAAATAAGCAGTTTTTTAACCTAGTGAGAGGAGTTGTGGTTTGAGTCCTTCAACTCCTCTTTTCTGGGGTGATTTACGGCCTCTTTATGGGTTGGTTTTGTTCTGATTTGATAACAATAATAACCAAATACTCCTTTAAAAATTAATAGAAGCTACTATGCTAATCCTCCCCACTTCCCTCCACCCGCCCAACACATACACAAACAAATTTAGAAGTTTTAAGATTTGTATTTTTGTATTAGATCCTTGGAGTTTAAAAAAAAAACAGCACATCACAGGGTTAGATTCAGCCTGCATTCTATTAGTGTACAACTTTTGATTTTTTTTTTTCCTATTATAACTTTTTTTAAAAAAAATCATTCATTGTTGCACATTTTCTTTCTTCCTCTATAACTTTGAGTAGATTTGCATTTTAACTTTAGTTGGAAATAACGGTTTGAAGCATTTTATGTTTCATTTGATTTAATTTGCTCCTCTGAGAGTCCTTGACACTTGGGTGCCTTTCATCCTCTCTCCAAGTTCATAGGGTTTCCAGAGGCAAGCTATTATGGAAATGGATGCCACTCCTCCTCCTACGCTTGTTTAATCGGGGAGCTCCACCCCACTCTTAGTCCGCATTGGGTAGCCAACCATTAACGCATTTGACACATCCATGTCACCAGGTTCAGCCTCACAGCAACCACAAGTGACCGTGGGACAGCAACTTATACACCAGGGCTATACAACCTAGAGGAATGTCTGAACTTAGCAAAAAAGTATTGATTGCGAAGTTTTAAAGTCTAGAAAATGGTGTTAAGATTATTTTATAGTCTGAATTGTAACTTGACATTCACTAACCTTTGTTCCTTTTACTGTTGATAATAGGCTCTCTGGTCGCCTGATGTTAAGAATCTGTGCTATCAACCCAAAAGCCTATGGTTCAAATCTATTATTTGCTCCACAAGGGAAAGATGAATAGTCTCCTCTCATGTGATTTATAGCCTCTGAAAACCTGCTGGGGGTCAGTAATGAGTTGATTCCAACTTGACACAATAGAGTGTTGCTATAATAAGATTGTGAAATTAGACTCCTTGTTATTATTCCAAGTCATGTCAGAACCATTTCATATCTAACTGTGCAGCAGGTTTTCAAAGGCTGTAAACCACACAGAAGATTGCCTACCTTTTACCCTGGGAGCAGCTGGCGGATTTGTGCCTAGGGGCATGGTTTTAGGATTAGCTGTGCTGTCTCTACAGACTACTTCATCAGAGCTTCCGTCTTCTAAAAAACAGTATGCCAGTGTGCTTTTTTTTAAATAGAAGTTTCAGAGAGCACTAAAATATTTTCTTATTTAATAAAGCAAATAGTTCAAAGTACACAAAATTTACTTTTTTTAGCTATGATTGGTCAGAAGCAAAAAATTAAATTTGCCTTATAACCCTTTGTGTAACCTTTCACAGTGGCCCTTTAAAACCATTTAGTTATAAAGAACATGCTCGAAATTTGTAACAAAAATTCTTAAACCGCCTTAACAGTCTTAAGTATATGTGGAAGTAGTGCTAGTGGTATAGGTTAAAGAATTCAGATGCTAAATTAAGGTCAAGTATTTGAACCCAAAATCTGTTCTGTGAGCCAAAGACCAGACAGGCACTTTCTGTAAGATTTACAGCCTTAGGAAAAGGATACCTGAAGGCAGTTCTATGTGGACAAAAGGTGACTGGCTGAATTTCTCTTTCAGTGTATATGTGTTTACATGTGCAGATAGGCATTTGTACGTGCATATACATACCTCCTCAACCCTTCCACCAGTCCCACCCCCAGCTGTTTGACTGTTGTAGATATGATATCCCTTTATCCTATAAATACTTCAGTATGTAATTTCTAAAACTGGGAATTATTAAAATTGGAAAATAAACAAAAACAAGGCTCCCAAGAGTTGACTGCATACCAATTGATTTATTTCAACAAACAGATGTTGCCCTGGATGTTCTCACTAAGTTGTGCCAAGAAATCTGGAGAACAGTCAGCTGGCCAACTGACTGGAAGAGATAGATATTTGTTCCCATTCCAAAGAAAGGTGACTCAACAGAGTGTGGAAATTATTGAACAATATCATTGATATCACATGCAAGCAAGATTCTGCTGAAAATTACCCAAAAACGTTTGGAACAATATGTCAGCAGAGAACTGCCAACTTTGCAGGCTGGATTTAGAAGGGATTGCAGTACTAAGGATATTATAGCTAATGTTAGATGGATCTTGGCAGAAAGCAAGAGAATAACAGAAGAATGTCTACCTGTGCTTCATTGACTATGCAAAGGCTTTTGACTGTGTGGATCACAATAAGCTGTGGTTGACTCTTGAGAAGAATGGGAATCCCTGAACATTTGATCGTGCTAATGCAAAACCTATACTTGGACCAAGAGGCAGTCAGAAGAGAGCAGGGAGACACTGGATGGTTCAAAATCAAGAAAGGGGTCCATCAGGGACGTATTTTGTCTCCATACCTTTTCCATCTGTATGCAGAACAGATCATCCGAGACCCTGGGCTGTATGAGGAGGAATGTAGCATTAGGATTGGTGGAAGAATCATCAACAACCTGTGTTATGCAGATGACAACCCTGATTGCTGAAACTGAGGAGGACCTGAAGCGCTTGCTGCAGAAGGTCAAGGACTGCAGTCTTCAGTAAGGATTGAAGCTCAGTATCAAGAAAACAAAGGCTCTCACCACTGGGCTGATTTGCAGCATCAGTATGGATGGTGAAGAGAGTGAGATCAAGTTAACAGTTTTAGTTTACTTGGCTCCACAGTCACCACTCTTGGTAACAGCAGCCAGGAAATCAGGAGACGAATTGCATTGGGAAAGTCAGATGTGAGGGACCTCTCAAACTACTGAAGTGCAACAAAGTCTGGCTGGAGACTAAGGTGCTCCTGATCCAGGCTATAGTCTTTGCAATTACGTGCTATGCATTGGAGAGTTGGACAGTGAATAGGATGATAGAAAGATAATTGATACCTTTGAGTTGTGGTGCTGGAGAAGTGTGTTAAATATACCATGGACTGCTAGGAGAAGAAACAGGTTTGTCCTGGAGAGGGTGAAGCCAGAATGTTCCCTGGAGTCTCAAGAATTCTGAAGCTTCGTCTGACATACTTTGGGCATGTTGTGAGGAGCGACTGGTCCTTGGAGAGGGACATCATGTTTGGGAGAGTGGAGGGGGATGGTACAGGAGAGGAAGACCCTCAATGAGATGGATCTAATCTGTAAGTGGAGTGATGGGAATGAATGTATTTGAGACAGTGAAGGTGGCATAGGATGGAACAGCGTTTAGGGCTCTTGTACATAGGGTCGCTATGAGTCGCAAACGACTCGACAGCACATAACAACAACATACCATAATCTCCCATTTCACATTTTTTCCCAGCTATATCTTAAATTTTCCTGAATCCATTTGTCATCTGTTCTTAGTAGTCTTTAGTCTGGGATAGTCTCAGTATTTGTGTTTCATGACATTTACATTTTCGGACAAGGGATTTATTTTTTTGAATGCTCTTTAATTTAGGCTTAGCTGATACTCCTTCATGATTGGATTAAAAATTCATACTTTACGTAGGGAAAGCAAATATTGTATTATTCTAGTCAGTGTCACCAGAAAGCCCTTGGTGTTATTTTGCCCCACTGTTGATAACTTATGTTCGATTATGTCAGCTTTTGTCTTGCAGTGTTAATCCACTGGAGAGTCAAATTTTTCATTATAATCAGTAAGTGACTTTGAGGGAATATATAACTCTTAACTCCATAGAGTGCATATTGCTGACTTTGTAGACCAGTACTTTGTACCATTTTTTTAAAAAATAATTTTTATTACCACTATACTCATATACTTCCATGAGCTCACCAAAGTAAGTTTTTAAAAATAAATGTTTAATTATACTAATTTTGCCCCTCCCACCCCTCAGATGGAGAACTTAATGTTCTCGATGATATTTTGACTGAAGTACCAGAACAGGATGATGAACTGTATAACCCAGAAAGTGAACAAGATAAAAACGAGAAAAAGGGTATGTAGATTTTTTGTTTTGGTAAAATAGCAACACTATAAATAAGATTTAATTTCTGAAGACAGTTACCAGCTTTTATTCTTTTTCCTTGATTTTAGTTGACACTAAAATAGAAAAAAATTGTAACTGTATTTCCCCCATGAGATTTTTCAAATATATGGAATGAATTAATGTATTTTAAAGCTATTTTTCATTACAGAATAACTTTAGAAAATATGTTTCAGAAGACATTTTAAAGAAATTATATTTCCTCTCCCTGATGTATGTTATAGTAATGTTTTTGTGAGATAGAATACCACAACATTTTTATGTCTTTTTAAATCATATTTTTAAGGATCAAAGAGAAAAAGTGACCGAATGGAATCGACTGATACCAAGCGACAAAAGCCTTCTGTTCATTCAAGACAATTACTTTCAAAGCCACTGAGCTCATCTGTTAGTAATAACAAAAGAATAGTTAGTACAAAAGGAAAGTCTGTGGCAGAGTACAAAAATGAGGAATATCAAAGATCTGAAAGAAATAAGCGTCTAGATGCTGATCGCAAGATCCGCTTATCAAGCAGTGCATCCAGAGAAACTTACAAGAGTCAAACAGAAAAGACTTGTCTTCGGAAAAGGGATCCTGAAAGGAGGGCCAAATCCCCAACACCAGATGATTCTGAGGTAGTAAATGTTATTGCAGATATAAAACAAAACACAATTCTTTTGAGGCTTTTAGAACTATATATTCACCCTGACCATGTTTGTTATATGACTGCTGATTCCCTTTTTCTTTAAACATCAGAGAATTGGACTTGATGAGGATAGACGTGCAAGCAGATCCAGCCAGTCTTCTAAAGAAGAAATGAACTCTGAAGAATATGGTTCGGACCATGAGACTGGCAGCAGTGCTTCCTCTGATGAGCAGGGCAACAACACGGAGAATGAGGAGGAAGGAGTGGAAGAAGATGTGGAGGAAGATGAAGAGGTAGAAGAAGATGCTGAGGAAGATGAAGTAGATGAAGATGTAGAGGAGGAGGAGGAGGAGGAGGAGGAAGAAGAAGAGGAAGAAGAATATGAACAGGATGAGAGAGACCAGAAGGAAGAAGGAAATGATTATGACACGCGAAGTGAGGCTAGTGACTCAGATTCTGAATCCGTTTCCTTCACAGATGGATCTGTCAGATCGGGTTCAGGCACAGATGGATCAGGTACTGTTTTTAACATGTAAAATGTTACCCTTTTAAAAATGTTATTTGTTCTTAAATAAGGTTTAAATTATTTTTCTGAAGAAAACAGATGTTAATAAGAATTATCTTTATATTTGCTCTTGAGTTATAAATTTATTTGAATTTTAAGATTTACAAATTGTGTTATAAATGCACACAAATCTGACTTTTGTAGTAAGGAATTATATGTCAGGGTTTAATGTTCTAAGTTTTTTTGGGTTATTTTTTTTTTCCCATTTTTAATCTTGAAAATTCTTAAAAGTTTCATACCAGTTGACCAAAAAATGCTTATTTTTAATAATGATAAACTTGACATGAGGAGCCATTGTAGCACAGCAGTTAAGTGCTTAGCTTCTAATAGAGATCAGCAGTTTGAATCCAGCATCTGGTCTGCAGGAAAAAGATTAATTCATTTGCTTCCATAAAAATACATAGCCTAGGGAGAGAGTGGGGTATATTTAATGTATTCATGTATTATCTGTCCACTATGAATTTTGATTATTTTCTTAGTAAAATGAATGCCTTTTACGTTTGAGAACTTTTAATTCTTATTTTTTATTTGACTTTAGAATCTACTGAGATCTAGGACATTAGGGTGTTTGTTGTTAGGTGCCCTGTTGTCTACTGTGACTTCAGGAGTGACCCTTTGAACAATAGCTTAGAACCTTGCCTTATCATGAGCCATCCTCATAATTTCTAACATACTTGAGCTTATTGCTGCAGTCACTTGGGTCAGTCTAACTCATTGAAGATTGTTCTTGTACTCACCCTCTACATTTCTGATGATGATGGCTTTTTCTAAGAACTGGCCCCTCCTGCAGACGTGCCCAGAGTATGTAAGACTTAAGTTTCACTGTTCTTGTCTCTGGGCAGTACAACCTGGATTGTGCTACTACCTTCAAGACAGCTTTGTTTGTTCCTTTGGCAGTCAGTGGCATTTTTAATACCCTTTACCAACAAAATTCAGAGGCATTGATTATTTCTCAGTTATCCTTACTCATTGTCCAATTTTCAGAGGCATAGGAAGCAATTGAAAGTATAGTGACTTGCATCAGGCATATCTTAGCTTTAAAACTCTTGTAAGGAGCATGGATATTTAGAGTCTCTAGGTGATAGAATAATATAGGCAACTAATTTAAATGTTGGAGATTTGATGCCAGAGCCCATCTGGAGGCACTTAATAAGACTTTATGACTTGTTTCCTGAAAACAACTGTTGAACATTGTGGAGACATACAGGTCTACTCCAATTCAAATGGGTTTGCCATTAGTGGGAATCTACTTCATGGCAACTGGTCTTTATATGTGAATCATAAATTCCTGATTTTGCATATGTAGCCATGTATTACCTGATTGAAATAGATATGTGAAACAGTAAAATATTCTTTAGATTCTTATTCTGAGGAAAATGAGGGGCCATGAGAAAGATAGTGGCATACTTAAATGTGCTAAAAAGCCAAGCACATAATTTTACACTGTAGTTCCAGTATTTGTTAGTTGCTGCATTGTGATTTATTTTTAAAAAAAAAATATTGTTCCATTTCCTTTTAGATGAGAAAAAGAAGGAAAGGAAGAGAGCTAGAGGCATATCTCCAATTGTTTTTGATAGAAGTGGGAGCTCTGCATCTGAATCATATGCAGGTATTCTCATACTACTGTTGCTATATTTAACTGGCTCGATTGTAGTCTGCTGTGAAAACTAGTTTAGTGTGAATTTGTTGATGTCTATTAGTATTGATTTTTGGCATGTTTAATGTAGTATTTCTAGAGGAAACTAAGCTTTTTCTTATTTTAATCTTGTTCTGTTATTGCTTAAGTGGAATTTTCAGTTTTTTTGTTTTAAATTTTGTTTTGGAAGATGATGATTCAGTGACTAGTTTTCTGAGTGGGAAACTGTTCAAATACATATATTTATAAAAACCCAAAAATCCAAACAACCCAAAAAAACCCAAAACACTCGTACACATTGAGAAGTATTTTATTGTGTGTGTGGGTGCGCCAGGAAGAATTAATTTGTCTTGAATGAGAATATATGTAACAAGACTGTAGAAATTTTGTCGTATCTCTATTGAAGCTCAATCTGAACAAATGTACTTTGGCTAAATACAGGTTCAGAAAAGAAGCATGAGAAATTATCATCTTCCGTTCGTGCTGTCCGAAAAGGTATCATTTAAATTTGAAATTGTTTTTCATTGCATGCTGCATAAAGCTCTTTTTTTTCCTTATTGATTCTTCACTAGTAGTTGTTTTCAATGTAGTAATGTTCCGATATATTGCATTTAAGGGTGGGTGGTTATAATGTAGCCTTACATAGCCTCTCTGTCTACTTATAACATCTTATAGAATTTTAGGATAATTTCATATTTAGTTATTATATGATTGGTATATATGTAAAATAGCATAATGGTCAATTGATAGTCTTCCAGTAAGTTAGTCTGTAAGACTTGGAAACCATTTTATACTTATATGTTACCTCATATATCGGAACATCACTAGATTAGATTTAACTTTGCAGACTGCTGAAGTAGCTTTGACTGCTATAGTAGCTTTGCATTTTTATGTGTGGCTTAGCTTTTCAGGTTATATGGGTAATTTTGAATTTTAATATTTTAATTGGGTTATGGAGGGCTAATTCAGTTTAGTATAGTCTGTATGCCTTTATGTAATTATGGCCTATAGTTAATCAACTTGAATTTCTTCCCTCCCCTCCAGATCAAACAAGTAAACTCAAATATGTCCTTCAGGATGCAAGATTTTTCCTCATAAAGAGTAACAACCATGAGAATGTGTCTCTTGCCAAAGCTAAGGTATTAGCTTCAGCTCTATTAAAATGAACCTGATCCTTAAGTTTGCTAGTGGAAAGTTAGACTTTTGAGTATTGTAAGTTACACTATTGAATTTTCACAGCCATGTTGTTATATGATTTGGTGGCTGATTAAGTAACCATTTAGTGGTAAATTTAGGTTTAAAAATGATACTGGAAGTTAAAATACTTAATAATTGATGGTAAATTTTTATATTATGAATGATGTGTCTTGATTTTTGGGTTTTTAGTAAATTTTTGTATTGTGTTAACATCTTTATACAAATTTTTAAAATTAGGAATTTTGTTTTTGCTAAAAGGGAAAATAACAGATTTGTTCTATCTTACCAGACATACTCTCTTAACTGCAGTTTTTCACATTTTGTTGCATTTACAAAGTAAAATTATGCAACTGACCTTGTTGTTAGCTGTTTTCAAGTAAACTGTGACTCACAGTGACCCTTGAAACAACAAAATTGAACCGTACACTGTCCTGCTCCATCTTCGCAATCATTGTCATGCTCAACCCATTATGGCAGTCACTGTCAATCCATCTTGTTGATAACAGATCTTGGTAGAAAAATTCCATTGGTGGCATTGAACTTTAGCAACTTGCTTTTATCTGCCTTGAGATTGTTTTTAAATGAAGCTATTATGAAAAGTTATTTTAAGTTTTCAATTAACATCCTTAGTACTAGCAGTCAGGAAACAAGGAGACACATTGCCCCGGGAAAATCTGTAGGTAGACCTCTCCAAATTTTAGGGGAGTAATGATGTCACTTTAAGGACTAAGGTGTACCAGCCTCAGGACATGGTCTTTCTGATTACTTACTGTGCACCTGAGAGCTGGACAATGAATAAAAATGACAGGAAAAGAATTGATGTCTTTGAGCTGTGGTGTTGGAGAAATGCACTGAACATGGATGGCCAAGAGAACAAACAGATAATGTCTTGGAGACAGTTCAGCCAGAGTGCTCTTTAGTATGCCTCACATACTTTGGGCATGTTCCTAGGAGGGGCTGTTCCTTTGAGAAAGACATGATGCTAAGAATGGAGGAGGGTTGGCGAAGGAGAGGAAGACCCACAACTAGGTGGATTGACATAGCTGCTCCAGTGGGTTCTTGTGTGTCAGGATGGTGCAGGATAGAATAGGGTTCAGATCTTTTGTTCATAGGCTTACTGTGAGTTGTACTCAGTGGCACCCAACAAGACAACATTATGAAAATTTACTTATAGGTAAAGGGGGAAGAATTATTTTAATTCCTCATTTCAAACTTTACAGAAGAGTTGCCTTTTAAGATGTAGAATGTGGTACACAACTAATTTCTCGATGTATGGGTTAGGTAAAAATAAGTGTGTTACTGCAAGTAAATGCCTTGCTTTAAAATGGATTTTGTAGTCTTTCTCCTTAATATTAGAAACTTTAAAATGTGAGTCTTCATATTCTGTATTTTTAATTAGATTCAAGATTACCTATCAAACCTTAAAGCGACTATACTATAATAACCTGCCTAGTGTTTCTTTGCTCTGGTGCTATAAGTAGTCTCTGGGGAGATGTGCTGCTAACCCAAAGGCAGCAACACTTTTCTGGCAGCTCAAATCCACCATTGACTCCATAGGAGAAAGATAGTCAAGCATCAAAAAACCCACTGTAAGGTCAGATATAAATCAACTCTGATTTGACACCATTTTTCTTTTTTTTTTTAATGGTCTCTGACTTGCCTTTACTGTGAACGTAAGTCCAGCTTTAGTTAATTTAAAAAAAAAAAGTCAAAATACTAATTTATAAAAGCGGGGATTCAGTGAAGCTGTCAGATTCATAGCCAGAGAGCACCAGGAAGAGGACCTCACATCTATGAAGAGTGATGCCTCCAAGGAGATGAGCAGCTTTTTGTAGATATCCTGTGTGCCCTTGGTAGAGATAGCTCGTAAATGAAGGACCAGGCAGTGAAGAACATGTCAATGGCCAGCAGAACCACGATCATATGGGGGAAGACATCTGGATTCCCTAGCCTGGTATCCTAGCCTGATATCTCTACTCATGGCCTCAAGCTCCATTTTCCCAGGTTCTGAGTAAGATGCTGCTTTGCTACTACAAATGATTTTTTTTGAGTGAGTGAGATTTTTTTCTGTTGTTCAGCTCATGGCAGAAGTAATTAAATACTTTGTTTAAATGCAGAGTTCTAGTTTGAATGAAAAAGGTTGATATTAGAATTAAAGATTTCACTGTATCATTTCTTCATTTTCTATCTTCCAAGAATGAAAATTTGATTAAAATGCTTATGAAATTCTCTTCTGAGTATCGAAGATGTAAAATAGACTTTCAAACTACTAACTTCTAAAAACTTAAATAAGAAAACTGAGAAATACAACTTTCACATTTTAAAAAATTTTTTTTCTTTTCAAAAGAGATGTTATATAATTTGTAATTCACATTGACGCAGTATATTTGCTGTATTCAGTCATTGTAATTTCAAAGTAATTTTAGGTGATTGGCTCTATTAATATTAAAAGTTCAGATTTGACTCCATACTGTAGTGACTATTTATTTTAAAGTTAATGTACTTTTGAGTTGAATTTGACTCATAGCTGATTCTCCAGTAATTTTTCAGTGACTATGTATTATATAGACGATTTGCCATTTTTTTCTCATAGTGATATTATAGGGACTAGTAATTTTATCCACATTTCTATTCGGCTTTTTATAAATTTGATCCTGTGTTCTCCTTCCCTCTTTTTGGTTATTGTGAGTTAAGTTTTACAGAGCACATTAGTTTCTTGTTCAACAGTACTTTATTATTTTGCCAATTGATCAAGTATTGTAGCTTGAATTTAAAATGGATAATAATCAGTAGACTTAATTTTTTGCAGAGACATAAATTATGTAGGTTAAAGTTTATTGTCTTTACTTTTTTTTGCGTAGGGTGTATGGTCCACACTACCTGTAAATGAGAAGAAATTAAATGTTGCATTCAGATCTGCGAGGAGTGTTATCTTGATATTTTCTGTAAGAGAAAGTGGAAAATTTCAGGGTAAGATTAAAAATTTTTATATTAAAAAGTTAAATTGCTGTAGAGTATCTTGTGACTTGACTCTCGCTTTGCAAGATTTCTTCATAAACACTCGGTAAATCTCATAGTTTTATCATTTAAGAATTGTTTTACAGCCATCTAATTATTATGGTATGATTTGATTCTCTTAGGGTTTGCAAGACTTTCTTCAGAATCACATCATGGAGGATCCCCTATACACTGGGTGCTTCCAGCAGGGATGAATGCTAAAATGTTGGGAGGTGTCTTTAAAATTGACTGGATTTGCAGGTATGTTACATGTTTTTATTATGTTTCACTGGTGGGGAAGGTTTAGGTTATAGAGGTGAGAAAGGAGCTACCCTTTTATGGTTAGTAAAGATAAATAGTAGTAAGGATCACCCTAAGAACTTAAACCCTTATGTAATACAAAGATGCATGAGCAATAATACATTGTTAATAGTATGTTAGATTATTAATAGAGTTGCAGAAATTTATGCTTTCAAATGTTAAGCAAACTGATTTGTAATATACAGAAAGAATTGTCTGTAACAGAGATTTTCACTATAACACATTATATTTAATAGGAAATAATTTTTAATGTTAGGTTAGTAAGAGTATAGTTATTTAGAAAGTAAAAATCTGATGACAGTTTATAAGGGAATATAGTTCCTCATTGTTGTTAGGTGCTGTTTAGACTAGTACTTACTATGATCCTGTGAAAAACAGATTTTGATCTTTGCCTTATCTTGAAGCATCTTCACAATCTGTTATACTTGAGCTCGTTGTTACAATCACTGTGTCAGTCTTTCTCAGTGAGAGTTTCTCAAGGACAAAAATCTTTTTATAAAGTACAAGTTTTTTACAGGAACATAGTAATTTTTGTTTATTATTTTTTTAGTATGATTAAATAGACCAGAAGGAGAGTTGTGTATGTTTCTATAATATTACAGTAACATTGGAAAATATTTGGGAGGTCATACTCAGTTGAGAACAGAGAAGGACATAACCATTTCAGATTGGCAACAGTATTTTTTCTTTTTAAAACAATTATATTTTATAGTGAAAAGTGTGTGTGTGTGTAGATATATTTGCCAGTTTAGCCATTTATAAATGTATAGTGGCATTAATTACTTTAATAATCTTGTGTTACCATTGTGTACTATCAAGTTTGAATAGACCGTTGGCTGGCCCTCTTGTGGATTTTCGGAGGCAATTAATCAAATGGGAGAAGATTGCTCATTCTTCCCCTGCAGAGCAACTGGGGCCTTCGGGATTTCACACAGCTTTTTACCAGTAGGCCACCAGAGCTCCCTGTTTTACCATTACTGCTGTCAATTTGAAATATTTTACATTATCCTAAATAGAAGCTGTATTCCTTCAGTGATAATTCCTTTTCAGGTCACATAGAACCTGAAAAAAAAGATTTTTTTTCCTCCAAAACTCATAATAGCATAAAATATGGACTGTTAACCAAGAAATTGGCAATTTGAACCCACAGGAAGAAAAATGAGAGTCTCCTTCCTTCTATTAAGATTTACACTGTTAGGAACTCATTGTAAGGTTGTGATTAATTTAATGGTGGTCATTGTTGTTATGTACCTTAGAGTAGAACCAGTTCTATAGTTGACCCTCCAGCAGGTTTTCAGAGACAGTTAATCACATGGGAGGAGGACTGCTCAGCTTTCTGCTTTGGAGCATATGGTAGATTGGAGCTAGGTGCCTTTGGGTTTGCAGGGCAGCTTTAACCGAAATAGATGAGCAGTCTCATCCTTTGTGACTAACCCTGGAAAAAGCAATGGAGATTATACAATGAGTGGTGTATACAAATTTTATTAAATTTATTTTTATTTTATTTAAATTTCATTATATTTCCAATATTAACTATTGACTAGAAATGCTTAGGGGTTTTGTCATCAGTAATGACTATGAGATTATGATAGACATCCTTTAGATCTAAACCCCTTCTTCCATCCACCAAACTTTGTGACCCAGTGATTTTTTTCCCCCCCTGCCCTTGACTTTCTCTGCTTCCCCCCTTAAACTTTGATACACATCTTCCTAGTTATCCTTCTGCTGTGGTCTTATGCAATATGTGTCCTTAAAAGACTTGAGTTCATTCAGTATAATGCTCTTCATCTTGCCCTGGTTGCATAGTGTTGTTCAGAATTGTTGCTCCTGAGTGCTGCATATGCATAGTATTCCATTGTGTGACTAGACCACAGTTTCTCAGTTCATTGGTTTGTTACTGGACATTTGAGCTGTTCTATGTTCACGCAATTGTGAATAACAACTGCCATGAGCATTAGTTTATCTATGTTAATTTTTAATGAGATTGGAAATAATGTAAAGTTTGAGTGTTTTGAAAATTGTCACAGGGTTAGAATAAACGATACGTAACGTGTATATTCATAGAGTCATTGCAGCAGTTTTTTTTTTCTTAAAGGGCAATTTCATTTCTAGTACCATCTTGATCAGAGGTTTATTGTGCTTTTTTATCTCTCCACTTCTTAAAATAATTTTGCATTTTCCTCCTCAACCTGAACCTCTGTTCAAAGAATTTTATAGGTCCCTTTCTGTAGCCACCTTGGTTTGGCCTTAATCTTGGTGTTGGAGTTGTCCCAGCTTTTTTTTTGTGCCCCTGGCAAGCAGCCTTGTAACAGTTGTCACAGAATTTTTAAGTATCTTTTTGTTGGTGGGAGAGGACTGTATCCAAGCCCCATGGTTGAAATGGAAAGACTCATTGCAGTCCCCTGATATACATGAATATTTTTGTTACAGAACACAAAAATTAATTTTTAGCTGACCCACCTTGTTTCTGATCCTGCAGCCCATGAAGATTTTACTTGTGCCATCACTTCCTGTAACATAGTTTATATCAATAAATATGTTTTTACTTATTTATATGTGATACCTACTTCCTAAACAGTATACCTTTGAAAACTCTGAACTTTGAGAAATGATAGTTATTGAAGGGCTTCAGGTCTTTTGTTCATGGGCTTGCTGTGAGTTGTGCTTTACTCGATGGCATTCAGCAACAACAACCAAGTGTCTTAGCTTCTGTTTTCCTTCTGTATTGTGCCTTTGTTCAGTCCCTTCTCTTTTGCTTCAAACAAAACTTTGTCTTACCTCTCCAATATTGAGTTGATTTGAGTAAGGTTTGTTGTGGGGTTTTTGTTGTTGTTGTTGTTTTGTTTTGCTTTATCTACAGTCACTCGTAATAAGCATTTTCTGGTTAATTATCTTTCCTTCAAATTGGCTATTATTCTTACTTAGAAAAAAAAGTCTGTAGTCTGTTTAAGTCACATTTACAGAGTTACCTATGCTGGTTTGTTCTTTGGCTGATAGTGGAGATGAAAAGTTGAAGATGATTTTTTTGCCTGTTGAGCAAACAATTTCATTTATAAAATAGGTAAATAAATACATTTTTTATTAGATATTTAAGGACTTAATTTAGCATTATCTGTTTCATATATACACATATATATGTCACTTACTGTCCATATCAGCAATGTGAGACTACATATATATTAGACATTTGTTTATTTCCCCCCAGTAGTTTTAAAGATCCTCAAACCAAGACTCTAGTAGCTTTGACTATGAATGGGATACAGACAGGTAAGACATAGGACAGGTGTCAGAACTTGGGCCCTCAAATTTTGTTCTATAGGCAGGCAGCAGACAATGAAGGATGTGAGTGCTGCAAAGTCCTTGCTGCTCTTGCTGCTAAGGCAGATGGAAGAGTGGATAGAGTTGAATGTATTCTTTGTTGACAGCATCCGCAGTGATGTGACCAGAAGTGAGTTGTGTGTGTTTTTCTTCTTTTATTTATTTCATTGTTATAAAATGAATACATTTTCATTGTAGATTGGTTTAAAAATATAAACAAAATAAGTGAAAATCACTTCCCACAAACTCAGAGGTAACTGGTTATTGATTTTGTTCTATTTATGCACATACATACATTTTTTTAAAAATAAATAAAAGAGCAGATTGCACAGTCTTTTATCATCTGGCATTTTTTTGCTAATAATTTCCCATAAGCATTTTTTGTACTCTTCTACCTGGAGCTTGTTAATGAAGAGGCTCCTGTGGCCTAGTGGTGAGGAGTTTTGCTGTCTACCCAAAGGCAGACACACAGTTCAAGTCCATCTGTGGCTCCACCTGAGAAAGATGGCTAATTGACTTTTGTGTAATTTACAGCTGCTGAAAACCCACTGGAGAGTCAGCTAGGAGTCATTTTTAACTCAGTAGCAGTGAGAAAGACAGTGGTGGCACAAGAATCAAGTACTCAGTCACTAGCAGAACGATTGGAAGTCTGGACTCACATTAACAGCTCTGCTAGAGAAAGACCTTATGATTTGTTTCCATAAGGATTATAGTCAAGAAAACTATGGGGGCAGTTTGGTGGGTTGAGGGGTGGTGAGGAAAATTGTAAGAATCTGGTCTAGAAAACAATGTATTCTAATTTTGTAAATAAGTTAATTGCCGCTGGCTGCTCCAGTCGGGCGGGGCTTGTAAGCCTGAGGTCTAGGGTCTCGAAGAGGGAACACAAAGGTGGGTAGAAGTTCGGTGAAGGGACGATGAAAGAACACAAGACAGTCAAGTGATCTTGATGATTTTAATTCTAAGTCATTCTAATTCTCCTTCTTTCTTCCTTGCCTTCTTTCCTTTTCCTGCTTATTACATTTAGCATGATACATTTATATTCCATTTTTACAATTAGAGACTTAATCAGCAGCCAGAACAACAACAAAAATAAGAATAAAGTTTACATTATTTTCTTGCACACAGCTATTCTTTATGATTATGGTTCCTTGGAGAGCATGAAAGGCTATTCTTTATGGTCATGGTTCTTTGGTAATTGGAGAGCTTGGTAGACAATGGCTTTTGGCTTAAACATTTTCTTTTTAAACCTTTTTTTTTAACCTGTTCTTCAACTTGGTTTGGTAGCAAAGTTACAAAGTAAAAAAGTTACATTTTAAATTTAAGCTGATACATTTTACGTTTTTAGCTTAATTACAATATTATTTATTTCCATTCAAAAGACAACACTTTTACACTTTCCATTATTCTAGGGGTGATCACTATTTCAATAAGGGGGTTTAGATTTATACAAAAGATGTTTTGGGTCATAATATCACCTAAATTCATCATTCCAATCTCATGTTTCATGATTTATTTTACCACTTATACCTTTCATAACATCTTCCCTCTGGTCACTTTCAAACCTCTTGAAAAACATATCCCAAAAACCATCAAGGTGTTTTGCATTAAATTCATCATATTTTCCAGTATATGGAAGAGGTTTATCTGTAGGTTCTGTAATTCTGTAAGGGCCTTTCCCAATAGGGGGCTGCCACAAACAACCATTACCTAACAGATAAACAATTCTTCCACCTGGTGTTCTCATGGTGGGAGGCAAGGGTTTGGGTTTTTCCTTTGAAGGAGTTCTTGTAAGCCCTAGAAATCTAGGAGTCTCTGGAGTGGTCATCTCTAGGATTTCCACCATTAATTCTTTTTGTTACAATGCATCCATGACCTCCCTTAAAATCATATTATTCTTGAGAAGTTTTAGTAATGCTAAAAGAACCGGAGGTAATGTTTGCGTATCAAAGTCATCACCTCCATTTAGTTCTTTCTGGGAACATCTAACAAACTTTTAGTAGGAACACTTTGTGTAAAGAACACAGCCTTTTTTCCCTGTCTCACATAGAAAACACAAAGAGACAATAGAAGAGAAATTACAGAAAGGCCAAGAACAATCATGGAGAAAGCACACGTTCCGAGAGGCTGACTTCCTTGAAGTTTTCGCCTCAATCGGATGATTTTGTCACGCAGACTCCCTTGGAGTTGGTGTGGTAGTTAATAATTTAAAAAAAACTAAGCATTTGCATAAAATGTGGAAAAGTACATAGAATTGCTTGGATATAGATAAAATATCTCTGGGAGGATGTACCAAATACATGTATGTATTTGGATATATCGACATTTTTTGCTTTTGAGAAAAGAAATAACTGAGGAATAGAGTTGGGAAGATTTTTCACCAGGTGTAATTTTTTAATTATGTGAATGTGTGCTTACTCAAAAGATAAAATAGTTTTTTAAATAATGGATTTGCTGTTGTTAGGTGCCACTAAATCTATTTCAACTCATGTTGTTGTTGTTGTTGATTGGCGCCAAGTTGAGGTCGACTCATAGCAACTCTATGAACAAAAGACCTAATGCCTTTTCATAGTTATCATTGTTTCTCCAAGTTTCTAGAGTTTCCAGCGGTATATGGTTTAGGAAATGGATGCCACTCCTGCTTCCCAACCTGTTTGCAACTGTGAGCTCAACCACACACTGTCCACATTGGGAAACCATTCTGGTATTTGATATCCCCATGGCACAAAGTTCAGCATCATAACAAACCCAGGTTACCTCATATTGACAAAGAGTGCAAAGTGGAAGAATGTTCGTCCAGATATAACAGCACTACTCTCATTTAGCAGTGGTTTAGCTTCTGTAAATAATAGATCCAAAATTATGGTATATAATAACCACAGTATTGACGTGACTAAAACATACCATTCTAATTCTGGTTTTCCCCAGTAAGTGTCATTATCAACTCACAAAAACTTTCACCTAAACATACCTGTTTAGCAAATGGCCTAAGATCCAAGGAGACCTCGTTCTTCTGCCACATTTGAGACTCCCCTAAACCGGAAAGAAGTAAAAAAAGACTCATAGCAACCTCAAATGACAGAAGTGAGTTTTGAGAAGATGTTTGTATAGAGTTCAAATCACAAAATACTCTTATTTCCTGGAGTGTCTTATGATTATGTATACCTACAAATAAAATTACTACTTGTTATTTTTTGATTATTCTTACACAACCAACAAGCAATTTAGCTCTGTGTACTTTTTGTTCATTGTTGTGCTAGGCTGATAAGAACTGTAAAATTACAGATTATCTTTTTAACTGGATAAAACAAATTTGCTCTTTTACCAAGTAATGAAATTAGCCAGGTACTTAAATTCTATAGAAACTACCTAGGTACTTAAATTCTATAGAAAGTACACTCTTTCTTTTAAGTGCTATCGGGTTGCCATGAACAAATCTGAACATTCTTCTGCTCTGTACCATCCTCTTGATCTCTGGTTTTGTCAGGCCAAATTAACAGTCGCTGTTGTCAGTAAATCTTGTTGAGCGTCTTCCTCTCTTTCTCTAACCTCTACCTTTTCAAGCTTAATGTCCTTTTCTAAGAATGACCCCTTCTATCAATATGCCCAAAACATGAGATAAAGTATCACTATCCTTGCCTCTAAGGAGCAACTTAAGGGCATCAATTCATCTTTTTCATTTATTCATTCAGATGCTTAGGAAATAATTGGAACAATCCTTGCCTGGATCTGGCACATCTGAATCTTTAAACTTTCTGGCTGTTCTTACTCTTTAGAACTTTGGAGAGGTTGTTGGCAGATTTTACCAACACAGTATTCCTTTTGATTTCTTGAGTGTTGTTCTCTGAAAGTTGATAGTGGATCAGATATAATGAAATTGTTAACATCTTTAGTCTTATCTTGTCTTCATCATGCATTGCTTATTGTCCCAATAGTGGGAAATTTTTATTGATACTGGGATGTAATCCTTATTGAAGGCTGTATGTATATAGTCTTTGATCTCATGTAGCAAGTACTTCAAGTTGTTTTCACTTTCTGAAAGCAAAGTTGTGTCATCTGCTTTAGGAAGGAGCTTGACGAATCTTCCTCCAATTCTTATGCCACTTACTTCTTCAGATACTCCACCTTCTTGTTTCGTTCCACATGAAGATTAAATAAGTATGGAGAAAGGATGAGCTCTGCTGCCCATCTTTATTGATTTTAAAGCATTCTTGTTGATGTTTTCTATTCAGACAGTGTCTTGAGATAGGTATAGATTTCACATGAACACAAGTATTCTGGGATTCCTGTTTTTGTCAGTATTATCTATATATGTTGTTATTTTCCACACAATATTTTTTAATTATATAGTCAGTGAAACAAACACAAAAATCTTCCTGGTATTTGCTATAAGCAGAGATTCATCTGACAGCGATGATAGCTCTTGGCTTATTCTGAATCCGGCTTAAATTTCTCACTGTTCCGTGTAAGTATCTTTTCAGCTGACCTCACCAACTGGCTGGAAGAGATTGATATTTTTCCCGTTTCAGAGAATGGTACCCTGACAGAATGTGGAAATTATCGAACAATACTGTTAATACCACATGCAAGCAAGATTCTCCTGAAAATGATAAAAAAAAAAAAAAAGACTGGAGCGTAATGTCAGCAGAGAACTGCCAGGTGTGCTGGCTAAGGTTAGAAGAGGCTATGGTACTAGGGATATTAGATCTAATGTTAGATGGATCTTGGCCAAAAGTTGAGAGTACCAGAGGAGTGTCTCTTGTCTATCTGTGTTTCATTGACTATGCAAAGGGTTTTGACTGTGTGGATCATAACAAACTACAGCTGACTCTGAGAAGAGTGGGAATCCCAGAACTTTTGATTTTATTCATGCAAAGCCTATACTTGAACCAAGAGAGTGGTTCAAATTCTGGAAGAGTATCCACCAGGGATGTATTCTGTCTCCATACCTTTTAAATCTATATGTAGAAACAGATCATCTGGAATGCTGAGCTGTAGGAGGAGGAATGTGGTATCAGGATTGGAGGAAGATTCATCAACAACCTGCATTATGCAGATGACACAACCCTACCTGCTGAAACCAAGGACCTGAAGCGCTTAATGCAGAAGGTCACGAACTAAGCCTTCAATATGGATTGAAGCGCAACATCAAGGAAACAAAGATTCTCACCACTGGGCCACTTGGCAGCATCATGATGGATGGTGAAGAGATTGAAATTGTTAACATCTTTAGTGTGCTTCACCCCACAATCAACACTCTTGATACCATCAGCCAGGAAATCAAGAGACAGATTGCATTGGCAAAGTCAGCTCTCAGGGACTTCTCTAGAGTACTAAAGATCAGTGACATCAGTCTAGAGACTAAGTTGCGCCTGATCCAGGCCATAGTCTTCACATTTGCTTGCTATGTGTCAGAGAGCTGGACAGTGACTAGGTATGAAAGAGAATCGATGCCTTTGCGCTATGGTACTGGAGACGTTTCTAATATTTACCATGGACTGCTAGAACAAATAGGTTCATCCTCGAGAAGGTGAAACCTGACTGCTCCTTGGAGTATGAAGCTTCGTCTGACATACTTTGGGCATGTTGTAAGGAGGGACTGGTCCTTGGAGAGGAACATCATATTTGGGAGGTTGGAGGGACAGCGCAAGAGAGGAAGACCCTCTATGATATGGATTGATTCAGTCATTTGGGTAATGGGAGTAGGTGTGTCAGAGACAGCCAGGTTGACACAGGATAGGGCAGGGTTCAGGGTTGTGATACATAGGGTCGTTATTAGTCACAAACAACTCAACGGCATATAACAAGTAAGATTTTATTTGCATGTTCAATAATGTCCACTGTTACAAAGACAAAATAAAACGTTGGGAGCATATTATTACAAATACATAGCTATACACATAAGTATGTATGTGTATGGTACAACTTGAACTCTCATCACTAGTGGAAAATAATTGCTTTTTTCATTTGTTACTAATGAAGTTTAGCTGCTTTTGATATGAAAATAACTTTCATTTTGGTTTTGTTAAAATACATTGAAACAGAGTCTGTGCTTAACATTTTACCTAAGTCATTCCACTTTTCAAAGGAACAGAAACTGGGAAATGAGTGATAATGACTTACTGGAATGAAAAAAATCCGGAACTATCTTGTTCCCAAAGCTCATGCACTTAAGCACTATATTAAAACAAAACATCTTAAAACATACTATGGGAAATATAGTAGCAGCTATTCACAGGTTTACGTTTTCATTTCATTTAAATCCAGTTAGCATAGATGTCTACTAAAGGAGTATTATGAGGTTATATTTAATAAGACTCTGCAATAAATGTAACTTGTTAACTTTGCACCTAGGCGTGAATTACCCTTTACTAAGTCGGCTCATCTCACCAATCCTTGGAATGAACACAAGCCAGTAAAGATTGGACGTGATGGACAGGTTAGTCTTAGTTGCTTCTTTTTAAAACATATTTATCTGTTTTGAGGTCTGTTTTGAAGGATATTTTAAAGCTTTCTAACGGAATTTTATGTAAAGGGGGAATATTCGCTTGTTTTTACTGTGATTATAACTTTATAATGCTGCCATTGTTAAGATAAAAATAGCTTTGTGTAACAGGCTTAATTCAAAAAAAGGCAAACTTTTTCAGGATTGTTTCCCTGCTTTTAAGTAGGGTTAACCTCACTGCATTTTCCTGATTAAAAGTTAGCATCTCATGTGATGCATTTTAGAAATCTCATTTAATGTTGTTTGAGGTTTTTCTGAATAGAAACTTTGCAAAAAGATTTTTCGAACCCCTATTTGTAAGTTTGCAAACGAAATCAAAAGTGAAAATAAGCCTAGACTTTTCTCCTCTATAGTTTTCACATGTGATTTTGAACTAAAAGTAGTATTTTCAGTGTTTATTATTGGAAATAAAAGCTACTTTTAAAAGCCCAGCATAAGTTAGTCTGAAATATTTAAGTTTATTTAGCAATTCATAATTATTAAACTTGTTGATGCGTGTACTTACTGTTCTTTCATTGTTGTCAAGCTGAAACTGACTTGTAGCTGACTCTCCAGAAAGTTTTGAGAGCCTGTAAATGACACAGGAAGAAATTGCTCATCATTCTCTCTTGGAACTATTGGTTGGTTGAATTCCAGAGAGATGCCTTCTTTGGGTTAGCAGGGCAACTTTCTTTAGCTGATGCCACCATGGTTTTTTTGGTAACTAACATTAATTAGTAAATAGGTATCAGTTGATTTAATTTGTATTTCCATTCATGAATTAAAATACTGATGCAAATTAGATACCATGTAAAAGTATTTTCATAGAAATTACCACAAGTTTTCTTCCATTTTGGTAAGATGAATGACTTTTTCTTGGTATTTTTCTATTTTGCATAAATATTTTTGCTGGTGGTCATTGTCACAATCAGAATTTTAAGCAGCTGCATTTTTCTGTATAATTTTACAGATTCTGTACTTTCAGATTATACCTTGTCTATAAATAACATGAAATACTACTGAAAGATTTGTAACTTGAGAAGATTTATAAATGGAACCTCATTTGATCCCCAGTTTTGGAAGAAATCATCTTAAGACAGTCTGTTTATGGTTTTGCACATTTTAAATGGAAAGTCTGTCAAAAGATTCTCCTGTTATCAGCTTATAAATTACTACTTTCATGTTCTAGGAAATTGAACTTGAATGTGGAACCCAGCTTTGTCTTCTATTTCCTCCTGATGAAAGTATTGACTTGTATCAGGTCATTCATAAAATGCGTCATAAGAGAAGAATGCATTCTCAGCCCCGATCAAGAGGACGTCCATCCCGTCGAGAACCAGTCCGGGATGTGGGAAGGTTAGAAACGTTCTTTGGACTGATAATAGGCACATGTATCAGAATAACATGATGGAGGAATGTGATTCGTCAAAAGTTTGTCCTGCGGTAAAGAAGAAAGAGAAAATCCTCAAATCAAGCTGCATGGACTAGTTTGTGGCTTCATTGAGGATTTCACATGGTCACCTTTGTCTCTGTCATTTTTCAAGAGGAAAATGGGGATCTTTGCTTATGCAGAAAAAAGTATTTGTAAAAGAATGATAGCTAGTTTAGACTAGATGATCTGATAATACAATGTATACAATTGAAATGAGGTAGGCATTTGTTAATAAGCATAGACCAGAAAGGAAGAGGAGGAATTCTTTTTTTGCACAAATTGTTAATATTTTGTAAAAAGCCTTTTCTTTCAGGTGTGTCTCTGGATAATCCTTGTCAGATATGGGACTTTTATAAAGGATCACTAATATTCTTTCAGAAGATGACGCCTCATTTAGAGGATAAAATGTTTTAAGTTATTTTGCTATTCAAGAGGAGCATTATTGGGACTGTTCACATTTTACCACCGTGATGTGTTAACCCCATTGCCAAATATTCTCTAACATGTACCCACTGAATTCACACCTCTTGCTGAGCTTCTGAAAACAATAGGTTCTTTCCAAAGGGGATCAAGTGGCCCTGGGAGACCCGGCAACAAACCGAAAAGAAGGGCTGTTGCTGTGTCTGTTTACAACTTTTCCAGATGCTGGCAGTACCTGTGGACTTAAAAGTGTTTTAGAGGATCGACATGGTTATTGATCACTACTTTATGAACTAAGCAGCATTTTCCAGGAAAAAGGGGGTTTAACTTGTTACAGAATTGGAGAAGTCTTTGCAAAGGACTGATTAAGCCCTCTACCCAACACCTTCCCTGGTATAGATATGCACACAGCTAAATCTAAAATATTCTTCTAAAGACTGTTGGAAATGTGGTTGATGGGATGAAACGTTTGGTTAAGTTTCCTTTTGGTGGAAACATCCAGTGGTAGGTACCGATAATCCAACAAGAGTCCCCATTTCTTTGAGTTTATAAAGGACACCGGAGTAGGTAGGAGAAAACCTGGCAGAGTCCCCTTATTTTGGGCCTAAAAGGACTGAGCACCAAGATGTCTTTTGAAGTTTTAAGCTAAGAGGTTTCCAGTGCAATCAGTATGTACAAGTGAAGTTTTTACCTCAGTTTTGCAATGGACTGCAAACTATACTTAATACACCACTACACCTTCTCTCAAGCCTGCCAGGGCCTCCATTTATGTATGTGGCTTACAGCTTAAAAGTCAGTAGTTGGACTACTATATGAACTGTTACTATCATGTTATATACCGGTCGTAAATGCACTACCCAAACTACAAGAAAGCGGTATGTTTGTTTTTTAAACCAGCTTTTATTTTCTTAGTTTTGTTTATTGTAGATGCAACTGCTTTTATTCTGTTGAGGGGGGTGGGATATTACTAAAAGAATTTGTGTTAATGAAAATAGTAATCAGAATACTACTTGGAAAAATTAGTGATGTCAGGTTAGTTTTTATTTGACATTAAGGATAAAAATATTTATTAGTAAAGACAACAAATTTTTACAAAAATTTGTTTAGCTCTTTACCAAGTGTTAAGTAAAGTGCGTTTAATGATATCTTGAAACAACCAAAGTAAAGAGCAACCCTCTGTGGACTTCTCAATTTTAGTTTCTTAAGAATACATTTAACTAGTTTTATGAAATGTGTTAAGACTCTGAGCCTATTAACTTGGCAAGTTATAAAAGTCAGTATTACTTTAAGGCACTGTCTTTGGAATAAGAATATCTTAAATTACTGTTACTAACTGTAGGTACTAGTTTTACAAAAGTATTGAGATTTTTAAAACATATGTATATATTTTTTAATTAGTATCAAATCTGTATGGTTATGTGAAAAGTAATTTTGTGCAAAGCAGAAGAAAATTTTTTTTAATTTTCAGTTTTGCTTTTTATCTGAAAATTAATTTAAATACAGGTTTTAGTTATTTAATGTATAATGATAGGTTTTGGAGGAACATTTTTGTTCATATTTTGCTAACTAAATGGAGACATTTTGCAAATTGCTTTGTTAAACTAGATACTGATTTTAGTTTGGAGGTGATTAGTTTACTTTTGTTTAGAATACTAAAATGTGATTTACGTATTTTGAGCACGTTGCCCTTTCTATAAGTCTTCTAGCATGGAACTGTAGAATATCCCAACCAATATATTTACGGTTTGTTTTGTAAGTAATTTTAAGGAGTTAAAAATTAAGAATTTTTAAATCATTATCAAGAATTAAGATTTTTAAAGGAAATACTGAGCTGTTCTTTGAATTTGTTTCTGTCAAAAACTCTTTGCTATTTGTTATACCAGCTGTTTTTGGTTTAATTTCTAATGTGTCTAATTTGTATAGGCGTCGTCCAGAAGATTATGATATTCATAACAGCAGAAAGAAACCAAGGATTGACTATCCCTCTGAGTTTCACCAGAGACCAGGTTAATATTTTATAATCCTGCAGATATTTGACTTATAATTATTTTAAAAGGAAAAACAAAACATGTACTTCTATCATAATCCAAAGCTTTTAAGTGAGAAAGTATAGATGAATACTTAAATTCTAGAAAATCTTATTAATAGTTCCTCCCTGTTCTCTTAGACTTGTGAAGTCTGTTTATATTTAATTTATCACAATCTATTTCATACAGCTATTTTTAGTTAGTGGGGGGAAAAGGGAGCTTATTTATACATATAAAATCTATTGAAAATTAAAGCTGATGACTTAAGATACTCTTAGGCTTTTAATTTTGTGTGATGATTAGTAATTTTTGTGCCATATTTAGCTTTAATTGGGAATTGAAATGAAACTAAGTTTTTTAATTAAAAACTTTTTTTTCTGAAAGGACTTAATTGGTTTATAATATAAATATAAAGTCAGCTTTCATTTAGTGCCTTATATTCAAAACAGTAGATTAGTATTCAACTCAGTTTGGAAATTGCTGTTTGTGAATGTTAACAGACTAAACATTAACAGGTAGCTTAAACTCAAATTGAGGGACTTATAAAATATGAAATTAGTTTCTCAGTGAAATATTACTATTCACTGTTTTTACATTTAAATACAGTAGGTCCTGGCTAAAAGCACGAAAAAATTTTTTCCCGTGGTTCTTTCATTTAAAGTACATACATCTTTATGTCTACATCTTTGTTTCCCTCTTCAAAATTGGATTTTTTAAACACTGATTGACTTACCAAGGCTTGTTTGTGTACATATTCAAGGTGGAAGATAAGCATTTGTTTTAAAGCCTGATTACAATGTCTGCTAGATGAATAGTTCTCGTGCCCTCTGGTGCAAAATGAAGAAATTTTCTGTCCATACAGATTTGAGGTGTGAAGATCATAACAAAGCTTCTGTAATAGTTTATAATTCTGTGTTGTATAGTTTTTAGATTTTTCTAGATTACTATGTAAACGGAAAAGAAATCTTGAAAATGGAATGATAAAACATCACTTAAATATTTTATGGAAAGAATTAAATTGAGTGGTAAAGAAGGTTTAATTAGAATGCCATCATAATAATTACGTATTTGATATACTAAAATGCTTGCTGTTTGAACAGGGTATTTAAAGGATCCAAGATACCAGGAAGTAGACAGGTAAGTTGGGCTCACGCTTGCTTAGTTTTGAATTACATTCTTGGAACTAGTTTATGAATTACCTGAATTTAGTTTCACAAATCTTATTCCCAACAGACGATTTTCAGGAGTTCGCCGAGATGTGTTTTTAAATGGGGTAAGCATTTCACTTTATGGACTTCATGTAAATAAAATCAGGATCTGATTTATTTTGTAGTTTGAGGGTGATTTGTATTTAATATTGACATTATCATCTTTCATTTTAGTCCTACAATGATTATGTGAGGGAATTTCATAACATGGGACCACCACCACCTTGGCAAGGAATGGTTTGTATTCCGTTTTTACAAGTAATTTAACTTCACTTGTAGTTACAGGTATTTTGCATACCTACTTTCTTTATGACAAATACAGTTACTTGTTAAACTTTTGAGTGTGAATAAAAGATTTGTTACTAATAATAAAGAGCCTTAATTGCTAAGAGAAATAACTTACTGTTTGGTTAAGTGTGCTAACTTCCTGGGTTTGACAGGTCCACTTTGTGAGCTTGGACATGCTTCATTACACATCTCTTAATAGTCATCATTTGTAATATTTTACAGGCATTTGTTTATTGGCTTACCAAGCAACTATTTAATACTGTGCAAGGCACTGGGCTTTCTCTAGTTATACCGTGGTGAGAGAAATGTGCATATGCCTGTCCTATGTATTTAAAGGAATAGTTTCAAACTCATTAGAATTGAAGAGATGTACATAAAATATATAAAGTTAACATAGTGTTTAAATAGAGCTAAATGTAAATTTATCTCTTCATTTAAAGTTCAGACCCATTGCCATCATGTCAGAGTTAACTCATAGCTGACTAGTGTCTTACTGAGGCTGTCAGTTACATGGAAGGAGATTGTACATTTTTCTTTTACGGAGCCACTAGTGAATTCAGACCACCAGAGCAAGGGCCAGGCCACCAGAGCCGCTGTCTCTATTTAAAAAGTTTAATTAGGTTGTAGTTTTTAATTGTTTCTTTTCAGAAAATGGAATGTTCTTAAGAATATATTTGGAAGTATAAGAGATAGCTGGAACATTATTTTCTCAGAAATGGAACCTTGAAATTTTATTAGCTATCTTTGAAATTTTTTGACGATACCTTTAAGGTAGCCCCTCTGATTCTTATTTTACTTAAGTAACATTGTTTTATCAGCTTTAGGGCTTGCCAAGAGTTCTTTCATTTAATTCTGTGAAGTTTTAAAAAAATGGAAATATTTACTATCTTGACTCTAAAAAAATATACTTTAATTAGCCCTTCACTTTATAATAGCTTTCTAGACTTTTGTTTGTTTTTATATTATAAGAATCATAGTGGTAAAAGTCATGGTTTTTAGAGCCAACTGTTGTTTCTTTTGTCTATTTTTTTTACTGGTGGTGTGATTTTGTTAGTTACAATTACAACATGCTGCTGAGGGTTATCTTTTTGTAAACTAAGATAGTATGTATTTCATATTAAATGAGACATAGAAAGTTTAAACAAGCAAATGCTTAGTTCATAGTGAGCATGTGCTGGCTATTTCTATTAGTCCTTAAATAGTGTGAGTTGAAAAAGAAAAACATAGTGAATCTTAAAAATGAGAAATTACCAGCAATCAAAAAGTATTTTAAAAAACTTAAATATCATCCAAATGAATGGCTTAGATTAAAATATTCAGAGGGTATTTTGATTGAGTAGGGTATGTTAAGATAGAATAGTTGTTTGATTTCTGTGTAGCAATAAATCCCATTTTCACTTTTTTAAGCCCCCTTATCCAGGAATGGAACAACCACCACATCATCCATATTACCAACATCATGCTCCACCTCCTCAAGCCCATCCTCCTTACTCAGGACATCATCCAGTACCACATGAAGCAAGATACAGAGACAAACGAGTAGTAAGTATATGAGAAGGCAGATTTGTGGAGAGAACTACTTAGAATTTAGTAAGTAATTTTATGTAGGAAAAGAGTAGTAGACCATTTCATACTCTTACTGCATCAGTGGAATTCATAAAGATTAGAAATACCCATTAGTAATATTGGAGCTATAATTAAAGGTAAACAGCAATATACAAGGTATTACATCTCTGGATTAGGCAGACTTGTTTATTTTTAATTTAAGATGGCTGATAATGCCCCTTTGGATTATTTAGATTTATATTCCTTTTACTGATAAGACAACAAACTTCTTGAGTAAGTTAACTTTTGTTAACAGTTTGGCATTGTGCATTATATGTTAGACTGATAACTGAAAGGTCAGCAGTTGAAATCCACCAGTTCCTCAATAGGAGAAAAATGGACAGGCTGCTGCTGTAAAGGTTTACAGCCTCAAACAGAATTGAGGCTTTCTGTAGGTCAGGATCAACTTGACTGCAGTTTTATTTTATAAGTAATTCTTAGGATAATGTCATTCATACATGGCTGCTAGTAAGTATATTTATTACATATTACATATCTCCATCTCAACATATTTTGGGCATGTTTCCAAGAGAGGTTAATCCTTGTTGAAGGACATCATGCAAGGTGGAGGGACGATAACAGAGAAGCCAACCCTCAACCAGATAGATTGACACAGTGAATGCATTAATGGGCTCAAGTGTGTCAGATATTGTGCATATGGCCAAGGATAAGAGAGAGTTCAGATCCATAGAGTTATATGAGACATATTCTACTCAAGGGTGCCTAATAATAACAGGCAGCATTAATATGAAATGTGCAAGCAAGATAATGCTGAAATTATTAAAAAACCAACCAGGACAGTACATAAACAACAGTAAGGTATTCAAGCTGGATTTAGAAGAGGCCGTGGCAGCAGGGATGTCATTGCTAATGTCAGATGGATCCTGGCTGACAGTAAAGAGTATCAGATGAATGTTAATATTTATGCTTTCTTTATTGACTGTGCAAAGGCATTTGACTGTGTGAATCATAACACATGGCTAACATGGAGAAGAGAACTGTGTTCACAAGAATCCTGTACCAAGGCAGAGAGGCTGCTGTGTAAGCAGAGCAAGAGAACACTGAATGATTAAAAATATCAAGAGAGTGCTTCTGGGTTGCTTTTCTTTATCTGTATGTATTAAGTATCTATGCTGAGCAAATTTGAAAAGCTGGACTCTTGTGAAGAAGCACATGGCATCAGTATATGAGGAAAACTCATCAATAAACCTGTTAGGCAGATTACATAGCTAACTGGTTGAAATACCATATGAACAGGAGCCAGTGGTAGTGGAAGTGGAAGCTGCACTAAAGGTATTGGCAAAAAATAAGGCCCCAGGAATAGATAGGATATCAATTGACTTGTCAGTTAGCAAGTGCAGAGTTGAATGTACTCACCACTTTATGCCAGGAAATTTGGAAGATAGCAAATGAATTGGAAAAGTTACATATTTGTTCCTATTCCCACAAAAGTTGATCCAACTGAATTTGGATATTATTGAACAATATCATTGATACCATATGCAAGCAAAATACTACTGAAAGTCATTTAAGAATGGCTAGAACAGTACATAGATAGGGAACTTCGAGAAGTTCAAGCAAGATTTAGAAGAGGCCATGGCACCAGGGATATCTTTGCTGATGTCAGATGGCTTTTGGTTGAAAATAAGGAATGCCAGAAAAATGTCTATTTGTTCTTTATTGACAATGCAGAGATGTTTTTGTGGATCAAAACATTGTGGTTGACATTGAGATGAACGGGAATTCCAGAGCACTTGACTGTGCTCATGTGGAACCTATACTTGGACCAAGAGGCTTTTTTGTGAATGGAGCAGGGGAGCACTGCATGGTTTGAAATTGGGAAGGGAGGGTGCCAGGGTTAAATTCTCTCTCCATGCCCATTCGTTCTTTATGCTAAGCAAATTATCTGAGAAACTGGACTTTATGAAGAAAAGTGTAGCATCATGATTGGAGGGGAGACTCATCAATAACCTTCATTATGCAAATACCACAACCTTGCTTGCTGAATGTGAGGTAGACTTGAAGCACTTGTTGCAGAAGATAAAAGAATGCACCCTTTGGTGTGAATTGCATTTCAATGTCAAGAAAACAAAGATTCTTAGCACTGGACCAATAGAATCAGTGATGGATAGAGAGGAGATTAAAACTGTCAACGGTTTCATCTTTCTTGGATACACAGTTAACACCCTTGGTACCAATAGTCAGGAGATGAGGAGATGTATTACACTAGGAAAATCTTCAGTCCAGGACGTCTCCAAATTATTGGGGAGTAATGATGTCTGTTTGAGGACTAAGGTGTTTCTGATTCAGGCCATGGTCTTATAAATCACTTGGACTATACATCTGAGAGCTGGACAGTGAATAAGGATGACAGAAGGGTGAATGATGCCTTTGAACTGTGGGAGTGTAGAAGATGACTGAATATCACATGGACAGCCAAAAGAACAAAAAATGTATGTCTTGGAGAAGGTGCAGCCAGAGTGCTCTTTGTAGGCAAAGTTAATAAAGCTTCATCTCATTTACTTTGGGCATGTGGGTAGGAGAGGCTATTCCTTAGAGAGGAATATGATACTTGGAAAGGTAGAGATAGAGAAGAGAGTCAACCAGACTAATTGACACAGTGACTGCTGCAGTGGGCTCAAGTATGTCAGAAATTAAGCATGGTATCATTTTCCAACTGAGGAGGACCTCATGCACTTACTGCAGAGGGTCAAGGACTGCA